ATTTAAAAACACTGGTCCCTTGTCACCCTATATTCAAAACACTGGTCCCTTGTCACCCTATATTTAAAACACTGGTCCTTGTCACCCTATATTCAAAACACTGGTCCCTTGTCCCCTATATTTAAAACACTAGTAACTAGTAACTTACTTACTTTACTATATTTAAAACAAAACACTGGTCCCTTGTCACCCTATATTTAAAACACTGTCGTGTGGGCTAACCAACCTTAGCAGCCTTGTTTACAGTCACGGGGCGATGAGGCTGGAGGAATATGTTCACACTGTGTCCCTCGTTGTTAGTCCTGGTTTAATCCTGGTTTTTTATTCCTGGTTTAGCTCCTGGTTTAGCTGTTTGAGGGTCTTGTGTCCCCGTGGCCGCTCCGTGTGGCTCTGTGCCGCACATGCTTCCCGAGGAAAAAGTTAATCTCTTGCTTTCGCCGAATACATCGGGTCTGTCCACTGCCTCTGCCGCCGCACACATGTTATTCCGCGCACGTACGTGCATAACCATTGACACGGCATTGAAACACGAGCTATAGATCCATGGACGCCACGCATGCTGCGGTTGTTGGTGTTTTTGCATTTCCCAGAAAGTTTTGCGGTTCCTGCTCGGCTGTTATTGGTCGAGAAGCCTCTGCCTACATCCCCCACAATGCCATGCGCTTATGAGTCGGCTTTACTTCCGGTGTTTTCTTCCTGTTTTTCCTGACGGAGTTAAGTTAAACTATCGAACATTCTATCGACCCCATTCTCTATTGATATCGAACACATGTCTATCGCGATATATATCGTTATCGTTTTATCGCCCAGCCCTAATTTTCATCCACTCCCACTGTATGTAGTTCAGGGAAAGAACATGATTGCAGTGAAGAGGTTTCTTTCAGTTTAAAAATGTTGGCTTTACTTTGTTTTTTTGTTTTGTTTTTTTTAACACTGTTCTGTTTTCTTTTTTTGAAGATGGTGCGTCTACGCGTGATTTTGGCCCTTGACAACATCAGAAGACTGGATATTACCGAAGAGCTCACTTCAGTTGAACAATTGAAAGAAATCCTTAAGGAAGGTGTTGAAATAAAAAATGACTTTGTAATTCAATTTGAGGATCCAGACTTTGGAAATGAGCTCTGTAATTTAACTGAAATAACACAACTTCCAAGTGATAGAGCTGTGCTGAAGATCATCCAGAAGTTCTCTGATTCAGATGCCGACACAATTTCCTCTTTAGACACAGCCAGCATGCCCTCCTCTTCAAGCAGCTCAGCGCAAAATTCACCAAGTGTGTCAGTCAAGCAACGGGGAAATTCACAGTGGCCACCTGAATTTGAGATTCCGGAGTTTGCTTATGATGTAGAACTACGTCTCAATAGAGCAAATAAGGAATTTGAAGAAAATGGAAAGCTTCTCCTCACAATGTCAAGAGAGATGAAGATTGAAATACTCAATTCTCTGGCCCAGAAAATGTTTACATTCACTGCCTATCCAAGTATAAAGCAGATCGAGTTTGTGGCTGCTGCTTTGATAGCAAAATATCCTTGTCTGAAAGATCCAGGCCCAGGAAGTGGCTATAATAGCTGGACTATGAGCATTAAGTTTAAAATGGGCAACTTCCGTGAAAAGTTGCGATCAGCTGGATGTTCAGAGGTATCTGTAAATAGGAAAAGACCGAGGAGTGTGGGGAGTGACTCGAGATGTTTTAAGAAAGCCAAGCGATGTGAGGCCAACTATCTCCCAGACAACCCAAATGGACTGTCAGACTCATCTCTCCTAAAAGAAAAAGAGGCACTCTGTGAAGAAATGAGAAAAAAATATCCAAATATGGCATTTGTGGAGTCCAAGATGGAGATGACTTTTTCCCTCAGAAGAAAAGAGATTGTGATGGAAGAGCCTCTTGTCTTGGATGTCCAGAGACAATGGCCCGCATTGTTTTTGCCTGAACAGGTGAGTTATTACTGGTAGTAATAAGTAAATACTTACTGGTAGTAATCTAAAAGTAATTTTCTTTTTGTTTTTTCTCTTTAGATTTCTGCTGAATTTTTCCGGATCACACAAACCCACCTGATGAACCGATTCTTCTCATCTTTGGATGAGTATGCGCCTAAGATTATCAGGTTGTACAGGGCACGTGCTGCGCTGTGGGGAAAAGATATGAAGACCCTGTTGGAGAATCTTGACGATCAGGTGACTATCCTTTGACATTTTCTTTACACACACAGCATTGGAACGGTGTGCGGCGAGGGTACATGGTACTAAATAAAAGGAACAAATACACAATGTCCAAGCCAAGAGATTCAGGAGGAGCACCAGGGTAGAGCAGGGCACTACTGGAGGACAGTTCAGAGGCCACCATCTCCCAGACCTGAGCCACACCAGGACATTCTCAGAGAATGTGCAAGAAGGTCCCAGTATCTCCACCATGGCACAAAGTGCAGATCGCATCAGGCTTGCACTTAATTTGTGTTAAAATGGATTTTAGGTAAAAGTTCAGATTAATCTGTTGTTCTGGGGTTTTCAAAGAACACAGTACAGTATCCCACTCATAGTCCACAGGTCCTTTTTGATATTTAGAATTTTATTTTATGTTTTTCAGACCACAGAAGTACTTGCCCACCGAAAATCTGCTGCTCTTAAAGGTCTGCCGTTGATCATGAGGGATGAGTCTAAAAGTTTCCTGAGAACCTGTCTGGTGAGTAATACTTTTTTATGACTTGTTTACATCAGAGAAACACTAATCATGCAATGGGCCAAGGTAAAATACATTTCTTTTCTTACTGAATTAAGATTGGAAATACTCATGGTTTGCGGTATTTTAAATTTGTTTCTTCAAACGTTAGAAACAAGCTTTTCTAAAGTAGTTTGTAAGTAGCGATCACTCGCCTTCAAATTATGATAAAACCAGGGCTCGACATTAACGGTTGTCCGCTTGCCCGGGGCAACTAAAGATTTGGGACGGGCAAGTGCGCTGTTTTTGCAAGTTGCCCGATCGGGCAAGTGAAGTATTACTTTAACCCATTCAATGCGGGAATGCATTGCCGCATTTCTTTTTTGATCAATTATCTTCAAAATTTCCCAAGGATCCGCAATTCCCGACTGTTTTCCGCTGACAATGTCATTTCTGTGAAATGTGTGACCGCGGGCACTTTCTGTTGTTTGCTGTACGTACTCGAACAATATTTGCATCCTCCGTTCTGACCCTGGGAGCACCTACTGCCGCTTTGTAATGACAGCCGCTTTGAATACTTCTATGAGCGCGGACCATAGAAGTGCAGACAGAACCATAGAGTCACGCGGACAGAACCATAGACACGCGTTCAGGACCATCCCCAGCTTGTTGCAAGTGCTGGTCTCCTACCTATGCGAAACCAAAACTCACGAAATTAAAGCTTGGGTACCTAAATTTCCCCTTGCCTTAAAAATGCATGTTGGTTGGCCACAAAAGGAAAATTTTGTGAACAAATCAAACAGAACACACCACGACAGGCGTCTTGTTTTTTATTTTGCATACTTAAGAGCCCTGGGAGTCATTATTTGACTTTTTAGGCTGAGAGTAGGTTTTTTTTTTTTTTTTTTCTTCACAGTTAGTGCCCCTTTATTGCCAAACTCTTGTTAACTCATTGTATTGAGAAATATTTGGGCAAGCAACTTTTGACATTGGGCAAGTAAAATATAAATGGTACTTACCCTTCGGGCAAGTGGCTGAGAAAGCTTAATGTCAAGGCCTGAAAACTAAGTGATGAGCATAGATAATTGTCTGTGTGTACTTGCTGGCCAACAGATTTTCTTTTTGAAAAGCAAAAAAAATTGTTTGCTATTGTTAAAAACAAAACTTGCTATTAGCAAAACTGTTCGGAACGGTGGAACTCTGATGCTCTTACCCAGGGGCATTCTTCAAAAAGACGCCCCTCTGCTTATACCTGGCTTTGGTGCACAGATAGTGGGGTTCTGTGGAGCCATTTAGCAGAACAGAACAGCCCGTTTCACATAAAGTTGTGCGCGTAAAGGACTGGCCCATCACAGGGAGTGAGCCGGGCCCAACTGAGGACAATCCCCATATGCAGTAATTGAGCATGTCCTTCTTCAGGCAGGACATGCTTGGGGCGATGCACGTGCTTGATTACGCATGACTCGCGTAAATCCAGTCCCACAAATATGGATGTAGGTCTATAATCTTCATTAATAAATGACAATAAATAAATCCTAATCCAGTGCGTTGATTGTTTTCAAAGACAACATCCAGCAGAGCAGAGTCCACTAAAGCCGGGCTGTTCTCCACAGAACCCCACTCTGCGCACCAAAGCCCGGAATAAGCAGAGGGGTGTCTCTCTGAGGCTCTGATCCCAGGGCATTCTTCAGAATATTACAGTTCCAAACAATAGTTTTGCCAATAGCAAGTTTTTTTTATTTTCTAATGGTAAACTAACTTTATTTTCGAATGTTGTTATGAAAATTAAAATCAGTTTCCACACAACTTCATGGGAGCTATATGGGCGCTACCCCCTCAAGAGCGCAAAGTATTATGGGATTTGTGCAAGTAGCCAATTTGAGATTGGGGTTGATGGCCCAACGTTTATTTGCAAAATCTGTTTGTAATTATGTCACAAGAGGGCTACTATTTAAAGCTGGAGTACCTATATTTTTGTTTCCAAAATACATGTTATTTATCCCTATTGAAACCTAAATTAACATTTTGGGGGAAAATATATAACTTCAACATGCTGTCTCTATGTTAATAAGATTAAGATGACATGTGTTTATTACAAAACATTACATATTTTACACATGCCCTGTGAGTGACTTTTTGAAGCTTTTTCAAAGAGAAAAGGAAAAAGGACATATTCATGCGAACGACTAGAACCATACTGTTTTATTAACTGTTGATGTTATACTTTTTAGTGTGCTAAATTTGACTTTTTTTCAAACAGGACATGCAGCCTCAAGAAAATCATGTTGGTGGCATGAAGATGGGAGTGTTAACCATTGTTGAGGATGATGTTGGGACTGTTGACTCAATCCCAAACGCGAGGTTCTTTACTGTGGTGCTTGAGGAACAGATAGTCATTGATGAAGTAAGTGACCTGCCGACAGCAGTTGCACTCCTGTTCGGTCTTGTGTATGCCCTGAACATGGCGTACCCAAAGGAACTGAAATACACGTTCGAAACGATTCAGAAGTTGTTCATGTGCCTGGATACCAAATGCTCAGCGAGAGTGCAAACCTTCAAAAACAAAATGTTAATGTATTAACGTGTAAATGTACCAGAACTTCCTGGTGGTTCAAAAGTCTTTTTATATACATTATACATATATATTTTTTTAATGAGAACTTGCTGCTGTTAAATAATTGCACTTAGCCATGTTGAACGTTTTCATTGTTGAAGCTGTGAAATATTGTTCTATTTTGATGGGATTGAATGTAGTTTCAGGTCACCCACTGCTGCTGTAAAATGATTGTACTTTACAATGTTTAACACTTGTTTGACAGAAACTAAGACTAAATTTCGTTTTTGTCTTTTGATGATGTGTATGACAGTGCTTTTAAAAATAGCCTGTGGTCCGTGCATGTTTCAGTCCAATATCAAAACTCTGGGGAGACAGTTTTAATTAACATGTTTAATAAATGTCTCATGTTAATCTTGTTTTTATTGTGATGCTTTAAGGGGACCCATAGTAGTAATTTTATCTGTTGATATTTAAATTGTTCAGCATTCTGTGGAATGTGTCTTTGATACAAGGAATTGCCTAAATTGTAAATGTTAATCCTCAGAACTTAGTTTCTAAAATTGACTCAACTTAAAATAGTAAAGCAACCAGCTGCGAAGCTTTTTTGAGTTAACTCAACCTAAGTTAACAAGTTAAGATTGTACTTGATTCAACTCTCTAAAATTAGTTTGAGAAATTAACTATTGGTATTTGACCCAACTTAAAATAGTAAAGCCACCAGGTGCAAAACGTTGAGTTCACCCAACTTAACATTGTACTTGTTTCAACTTTCTAGAATGAGTTGGATGAATTAACAATTGATATTTGAACCAACTTTTTGTTTAAAGTCCAGCAAATGTTTAATTGTCAAGTTGGTCAAGTTACTATTCTTAGTTGGACTGATTTAAAATTTGTATTCCCTTGTAATTATTGAGATAAGTGGGATTTAAACACAACAGGAAATGTTCCCAACTTCCTCCTTTAATTTTGCTCAATATATATCTTGAAAGTTGAGTGAACTCAAAAAAGCTTCGCAGCTGGTTGCTTTACTTTTTTAAGTTGACTCAACTTTTTTTTTTTTACAGTGTAGGGCTAAGACTGGGGCAAGAATAGGATTTGGGTAGAGCAAAAATTTAGGTTAGAGTGGAGTAGAAACCGGGACAGAAGAACTTGGGACAAGAATTCCATTAGGGAAGAGCAACAATAGTGAAAAAATGGGTCGGGTAAGTAAACATTTGTGTTAGAGTAGAACTAAAATTGTGTTATGGTAGAGCAAAAAATGTGTCAAGGTAGAGCAAAATTTGGGATAAAAATTGGGTTACGGTAGAAAAGGGATCTCCTACCTTTTTACCCCAGAGATGTATTTGTTTGCGGCTGAAATGGTAGAGAGCGACTTCTTTCAGCTACTCTGGGAGTGTGTGACCAGAGACACAAAAAAGAGTCAAAATCAATCGTCATTATTGTTCCTACAGCACAAAGTAAGTTTGCATTTAGGAAAGTGGAGAGCATGTGCGTTATAAATATACAGTATGTTTGGATTTGTATGTTTCTAAATGAGCAAAAGTCTTACATTTGTCTCTTACACAACAGGCCATTATAAGCACAGAGATCAGTACGCCACCGAAGTACTTTCTACGTATGCGGCGTGCGCTTACTCAAGACAAAGTAGTTCTCATCATTATCATTATATTTTGTTGGTCCTGGTACCACATGACTTACTGTATACTGTACACCTCAATATGAAGCTAATTTTCTCTGTAACACAAACACACTGAAAGAATCTTGTGTAATGTGAACAAATGAGACCACAACATGCTTTCTTCCATCAGGCAAGTTTATTTGTATGGCACAGTTCATACACAAGGGAACTCAAAGTGCTGACTCTGGCCCCATTAGGAGGCCAGTCCCTGTGCTCCTCAGAGTTCCAGCAGGAGGCCAGTCCCTGTGCTCCTCAGAGTCCCAGCAGGAGGCCAGTCCCTGTGCTCCTCAGAGTCCCAGCAGGAGGCCAGTCCCTGTGCTCCTCAGAGTCCCAGCAGGAGGCCAGTCCCTGTGCTCCTCAGAGTTCCAGCAGGAGGCCAGTCCCTGTGCTCCTCAGAGTCCCAGCAGGAGGCCAGTCCCTGTGCTTCTCAGAGTCCCAGCAGGAGGCCAGTCCCTGTGCTCCTTAAAGTCCCAGCAGGAGGCCAGTCCCTGTGCTCCTCAGAGTCCCAGCAGGAGGCCAGTCCCTGTGCTCCTCAGAGTCCCAGCAGGAGGCCAGTCCCTGTGCTCCTCAGAGTCCCAGCAGGAGGCCCTCTGTGTTCCTCAGAGTCCCAGAATCTTGTAGAAAATAAATAATAGAAAACATTTTATTTTGTGTAAGCCCTGTGAGTCACTATTTGACTCTTAGGGCTGACAGCTGATTGGCCGAGCGAGACTGGTCTTTATTTATTCCACTTTTCTGTCTGAAAAATCTGATCTAAAGATGTGACCTGGACCAAAAATACATGAAACTACTGCTGAACGGTTTTGATATAGACCCAGAATCCCGTTACCCTGGATTGTACACACATTGTACACACATGGGGCCCAGCTCCTCTCTAAAGCCGGGTCCAGGGCCTCGTGGGACCTCCTCAGGCCGTCGCACATCCCAGTATCCTTTCAACAAGTGTTTCTGTTGTTGCTTGATTAATTCTCACCCAAATCCTTTACTCTCCCCGTCACAGAAACCCCATAATATTTCCTCTCTAATTTCCCGTCTGTCTGTTTGTCTGTCCGTGGCGTTGGCGGCGGTGTTGGCGGCTCGTCCTCCTGCAAATGGAAGCTGACACAGAGTGGACCAACAAAAGCGTGAGGCGTCTTCGCGATTTGCCTGAAAAGATTCTATCAGACGTGTTTTCGCTGCGATTAATTGGCAGACTCGCGCCACGGTTTCTCCCCCTCTCCTCCCCCTCTCCTCCCCACTGTCATTTTGAGCGATAGTTTGGATATGTCCTTTGAATGATGCTAAGGAGCAGGCTTCCTCCCCCCTCTCCCTCCCTCTCCCCCTACCCCCGCTCTCGGAGTATGAAATATGGGTGTGATCTCGCTGAGGGCCTGGTGTGATTGGATGTGACCCGGGACGCCACATGACAGTAGCGGTAGGGGGTGACAGGAGGGGGAGGGAGGGGGAGGGAATGGGTGGGAGGGGGTGGAGACACAGGGGTTGAGGGCGAAAGTTTACGATGATGTCATTGACCCGACTTTGACGCCTGCTTTTCTGTGTATCATCAACTGGAAAGAGCTTTAAGATACTGAGGGTAAAGTGTGACAATTAGAAAATCTTGTACTTCTCTGGTATTTCTGGTCTCTCTCTCTCTGGTATCTCTCTGGTGTCTCTCTCTCTGGTCTCTCTCGCTGATCTCTCTCCCTCTGGTCTCTCTCTCTGGTCTCTCTCTCGTGTCTTTCTCTCTCTGGTCTCTCTCTCTCTGGTCTCTCTCTATGGTCTCTCTCTTTGGTCTCTCTCTGGTCTCTCTCTCTCTGGTCTCTCTCTCTCTGGTCTCTCTCTCTCTGGTCTCTCTCTCTCTGGTCTCTCTCTCTGGTCTCTCTCTGGTCTCTCTCTCTGGTCTCTCTCTCTGGTCTCTCTCTCTGGTCTCTCTCTCTGATCTCTCTCTCTGGTCTCTCTCTCTTGTTTCTCTATAGTCATTCTTTGATCTTACTCTTGTCCCATCTGTTCCCTGCTCTCTTTCTCTCGGGTCCCCCTGGTCTCTCTCTTGACTCTATCTCTCGCTCTCTCTTTGGCCTCTCTCATATCTGTCTGGTCTCTTTATGGTTTCTCTCTCTCTGTGGTCTCTCTCTTGTATTTATCTGGTCTTTCTATCTCTCTCTGTGATGTTACTGTAAAGCTGCCCATTCCTCTGGATAAAAAACCTCCAGGTCCTGTCTCTTCCTGGGCTGCATTGCATGAACCACACATTTTGACAATACATTTCTTCACACAAAAACTAACACATGTGAATCAGTGTGTGTGTGTGTGTGTGTGTGTGTGTGTGTGTGTGTGTGTGTGTGTCTGTGTGGGTGTGTGTATGTGTGTGTGTGTATCAGTGTGTGTTATTTTGTGTGTGCATCAGTGTGTGTTCCCATCTCAGCTCTAAGTATGAGGCTAAGACTTTAACTCCTGGTAAAACTCTGTGTAAATGCGTGTAGTAGAAGCGTATTCCTCCCTGCACCTGCTCTTACCTCCGAGTCTCTGAGCACATTATGCAAAGCCGGACGTGACACACATTTTGCTGCGACAGCGTCCCTGTGATCCTCTCCGACAGCGTCCCTGTGATCCGCTGCTCCTCCCTGTGATCCGCTGCTCTGTGGAGGAGGCATAGGATCAGAGGCCGCTCCTCCCTCCATCCCCGGGTTCTCCGCCTTCCACTGACACAGCTCACAGTCGGATTTGGATTTTTACAGAGAAGCAAAAAAGGTGAAGATCTGTCCACGTGGAGCTGCTTTCTCAGGGCTGCACATCTACAGCCTCAATCCTGGGTCTATAGAGCCTCAGTCCTGGGTCTACAGCCTCAGTCCTGGGTCTACAGCCTCAGTCCTGGGTCTTCCAATTTAGGTCCAGTCCTTTTTAACCTGTACATGCTCCCTCTTGGCAGTGTCATCAGGAGACATGGAATTAACTTCCACAGTTATGCAGATGATACTCAGCTGTACATCTCCATGTCTCCTGATGACACCAGGCCAATGGATGCTCTTTTTAACTGCATTTCAGACCTGAAATCCTGGATGGCAGAAAACTTTCTCCAGCTTAACCAGGACAAAACTGAGGTTTTAGTCATCGGTCCTGAGGCCCAGAGAGAGAAACTTTTACCAAAACTCCAATCACACTCTTTTAATCCATCATCACAAGTGAAAAACCTGGGCGTAATCTTTGACTCTGAGCTGACTTTTATTCCTCACATCAAGAACATCACAAAAATAGGTTTTTATCATTTAAAGAACATCGCCAGAGTCCGCCCCATTCTCTCTCGGGGCAACACGGAGACGCTGATGCATGCTTTTATCACCAGTCGCATTGACTAGTGTAATGCCCTGCTCTCTGGTCTTCCCAAAAAGAACATTTCAGGTTTACATTACTCCAAAACTCGGCCGCACGTGTCCTGACTAAGACCAGGGGGCGGGACCACATTACACCGGTTTTAAAATCAGTCCTGGATCTACAGCCTCAGTCCTGGGTGTACACATCTTTTTAGATCAGCTTTTGATTAGTATTTATTATTTATTGCTAGTGCATTTTAGTTAATTCATTTATCTATTTATTTATTTACTTTTTTATTTTAACTATTTTGTCATTTACTATTGTTATTATCAATTTTAGGTAGCTGCCATTTTATTTTTAGTCTCATATTTTAATTTTAGGGGCGACAGTAGCTCAGTTGGTATAGCATTGGCTTTAAGCCCAGAAGGTCGTGGGTTCAATTCCCACCTCTGCACCTTCTCCACCGACTCCCACTGATGACTGTTGTCGTTGTGTCCTTGGGCAAGACACTTAACCCCACTTTGCCCAAAGCCCCCACTGAAAGATCAAGGCTATGCTCACACTCAGAGAGCAGCCGTCCTCCTGTGGACTCACCACCTGCAGAGGGTCAGTGAGGGGCTGGTGCTATGAGACTTGGGTGGCATCTCTGACTGCCACCCCCCTGACCCAGAAATGGAGTATTGTACTATTTTAGTATCCCAAGTGTTTCCACTGGACGAGCCCTCTGCACTGGGGGCTGGGGTCTGCTGTGGCTGCGGTGGTCTGGCTCTTGGACCTGGTGGGGGTCTGGGGCCTCCTTTCTCCTCTGGGTCCTGTGTCGTTCCTCGCGGCTGCAGCCGGCTCTCTGCTCCTGGTGCAGATGGCTCCTGGGATGGTGCTTCTTCAGCCGGTTACATCTGCTCCCAGCCCCATTTCTTTCCATAGTTCTACCTATTTTACCTTTATGTTGTGACTTTACATGTACCTGTGGGTGTGTGTGTGTGTGCGTGCATCTGTATGTCTGTATGCATGTGGATGAATAGTTTTTCATAAATGTGGTTTTGGGTGGGTCTGTGGGGCGGTGGGATTTAGGGGTGGGCATCTTGGATTGTTTTTAAACGTTTTTTCATTAAAACAAATTTGATTGATGATTGATACAGCCTCAGTCCTGGATCTACAGTCTCAGTACTGGATCTACAGCCTCAGTCCTGGGTCTACAGCCTCTCAGTCCTGGGTCTACAGCCTCAGTCCTGGATCTACAGCCTCAGTCCTGGGTCTACAGCCTCAGTCCTGGGTCTACAGCCTCAGTCCTGGATCTACAGCCTCAGTCCTGGGTCTACAGCCTCAGTCCTGGGTCTACAGCCTCAGTCCTGGATCTACAGCCTCAGTCCTGGGTCTGCAGCTTCAGTCCTGGGTCTGCAGTCTCAGTCCTGGGTCTACAGCCTCAGTCCTGAATCTACAGCCTCAGTCCTGGATCTGCAGCCTCAGTCCTGGGTCTACAGCCTCAGTCCTGGGTCTACAGCCTCAGTCCTGGATCTGCAGCTTCAGTCCTGGGTCTGCAGTCTCAGTCCTGGGTCTACAGCCTCAGTCCTGGGTGTACAGCCTCAGTCCTGGGTCTACAGCCTCAGTCCTGGATCTACAGCCTCAGTCCTGGGTGTACAGCCTCAGTCCTGGGTCTACAGCCTCAGTCCTGGGTCTGCAGCCTCAGTCCTGGATCTGCAGCCTCAGTCCTGGGTCTACAGCCTCAGTCCTGGGTGTACAGCCTCAGTCCTGGGTCTGCAGCCTCAGTCCTGGATCTGCAGCCTCAGTCCTGGGTCTACAGCCTCAGTCCTGGGTCTGCAGCCTCAGTCCTGGGTCTGCAGCCTCAGTCCTGGGTCTGCAGCCTCAGTCCTGGGTCTACAGCCGCAGTCCTGGATCTGCAGCCTCAGTCTACTCTCCCCTATTTAGGAGTGTTTCCTCTGGTCCTGTGTATCAGTACCAGGTCCTTGTTTAGTCTCTCTTGGTCCTGGTGTGCTCTACCTAACAGTGATTGGCCAGTGCTGCCGGAAGCTATGGTTACCAAGGAATGTCCACAGATGTTTTTTCTCTCTCTCTGGACTCTCTCTGTAACTGGTCCCTCTCTCTCTCTCTGGTCTCTCTCTGGTCCCTCTCTAGTCCCTCTCTCTGGTCTCTCTCCGGTCTCTCTCTAGTCCCTCTCTCCGGTCTCCCTCTAGTCCCTCTCTCTGGTCTCTCTCTAGTCCCTCTCTAGTCCCTCTCTCTGGTCTCTCTCCGGTCTCCCTCTAGTCCCTCTCTCTGGTCTCTCTCTAGTCCCTCTCACTGGTCTCTTTCTGGTGCAGTCCTCCTGGTGCAGCTCCTCCTGGTGCGGATGAGGACCAGGAGGAGCCGCTCTGTCACATTAGTCTGAGGTTCAGGAGGTGTGTGTTAATCCAGAGGTGTTTTGTTCAGGAGTCAGATTACACACTCTGAGATTACAGCAGACGACTCTAATGAAATGTGTGTCGGCAGCAGCAGAGACCGGAGCTGGCTCTGGATCCACGTCTGAACCCTCCTCAGGACCATGGGGATTAAAGGTGAGGGACCTGACTTTATTGTTTCACTAGTAATATTGTGGTTTGGGCTATAGCAAACAAACATGAAGCTAACACATGGATCCTGGTTAACACAAGTCTAAAAATGGAGATTCTAGTCTTAGGCCTCGTTTAGACGGAGACACTGCTGCAGTAAAACGCTATAGTTGGATGTCAGTGGCTCAGCAGGGGGCGCTCTTTCACACCCCCGTGAAGAAAAAGGTGTGAATTCTCTGCTGCTGCTCTGACCCCCACCTCCCCGCTGCTCCCCGCACGTACATTTGGACATGCGCAACAACAATGGCGGCGGGTTAACTAACTAGCTACATGTGCTTCGAGGGCTGCACAGAGGACAATTCTACTCCTTCTTTCATCCAAACGAGACCACGTGAAGCTCTAGGTTCAGTTTCTGCTGTTAAAATGCAGAATGATGGTGGTTCTTTCATGTCTTTACGGCGGCCTGAGGAGGATGTTGTTGAGGAAGTGAGTACACGGCCTCTCTGCCCACTAGTGGCCGGGGGCTAGAACTACATCGTTTTTCATCCTCGTGTGAACACTGTAAAATTTGCAAAAGGAGCCTGGTCATTTCTGTTAATAGCTTGGAAACGTCTATGCAGCGTCTCAGTATGATCAAGGCCGTAATTTAGAGCTAATTTCTTACATGCTGGTCTCTCTCTTTGGTCTCTCTCTGATCTCTCTCTGGTCTCTCTCTGGTCTCTCTCTGGTCTCTCTCTGGTCAATCTCTCTGGTCCTTCTGGTCTCTCTCTGGTCTATCTCTCTGGTCTCTCTCTCTGGTCCCTCTCTGGTCTCTCTCTGGTCTCTCTCTGGTCTCTCTCTGGTCTCTCTCTGGTCTCTCTCTGGTCTCTCTCTGGTCTCTCTCTCTGGTCTCTCTCTGGTCTCTCTCTGGTCTCTCTCTCTGGTCTCTCTCTGGTCTCTCTCTGGTCTCTCTCTGGTCTCTCTCTGGTCAATCTCTCTGGTCTCTCTCTGGTCTCTCTCTGGTCTCTCTCTCTGGTCTCTCTCTGGTCTCTCTCTCTGGTCCCTCTCTGGTCTCTCTCTGGTCTCTCTCTCTGGTCCCTCTCTGGTCTCTCTCTGGTCTCTCTCTCTGGTCTCTCTCTGGTCAATCTCTCTGGTCTCTCTCTGGTCTCTCTCTCTGGTCTCTCTCTCTGGTCCCTCTCTGGTCTCTCTCTGGTCTCTCTCTCTGGTCCCTCTCTGGTCTCTCTCTGGTCTCTCTCTGGTCTCTCTCTCTGGTCTCTCTCTGGTCTCTCTCTGGTCTCTCTCTGGTCTCTCTCTCTGGTCTCTCTCTGGTCTCTCTCTCTGGCCCCTCTCTGGTCTCTCTCTGGTCAATCTCTCTGGTCTCTCTCTGGTCAATCTCTCTGGTCTCTCTCTGGTCAATCTCTCTGGTCTCTCTCTGGTCTCTCTCTGGTCTCTCTCTCTGGTCTCTCTCTCTGGTCTCTCTCTGGTCTCTCTCTCTGGTCTCTCTCTGGTCTCTCTCTCTGGTCCCTCTCTGGTCTCTCTCTGGTCAATCTCTCTGGTCTCTCTCTGGTCAATCTCTCTGGTCTCTCTCTGGTCTCTCTCTGGTCTCTCTTTCTGGTCTCTCTCTGGTCAATCTCTCTGGTCTCTTTCTGGTCTCTTTCTGGTCTCTTTCTGGTCTCTCTCTGGTCTCTCTCAGGTCTTGCTCTAGTCTCTCTCTCTGGTCTCTCTCAGGTCTTGCTCTAGTCTCTCTCTCTGGTCTCTCTCAGGTCTTGCTCTAGTCTCTCTCTCTGGTCTCTCTCAGGTCTTGCTCTAGTCTCTCTCTCTGGTGTCTCTCTGGCCTCTCTGAAGTA